GCCATCTTATACATTTACACAGAATTAGCTTATATATAGATCTGCGTTATACCATGCCGATTTTTATCTCTCGTGTGACTTACTGCGACGGCGAAGAATCTTAATAAAAACGCCGTCAACGTCAATACTTAACTCACTGTACCTAAGCGCACTGCGAATAATATGAGCCACTCTTCGGGATCGATTTCATAATACTACATATTTGAGAAATTCGCGTTTGAAATCGGCGCTGTCGCGCGACATGAAATGCGAATTTGACACAACCCGAGTATGAGAAATGTACAGTGCAGAGCGTCTTGGATAAAGATATTTTATTAAATTCCAATTACAAAATTCCGTTCACACATACACACGCTAAAATAAACTTATCCTACTGCTTTCACACCTGCGGAATCGATTAAAATTTACTATAAATCTGATGCGTAACCGCGCTACGCGTCCTACTGATTATATCACTCATTCGATTAATCAAGTCAAGCTGTATTAAATTTACGATGTGCACCGACGTCGATTAGCGTTGAGTCGTATGACCTGTTAGGCCTGTATTAATAGCCGTTACTTCAAAGGCTTACTTCAGATGAGAGGTTTAGATTTGAATTTAAAGTTAGATGCGAATCCTTTAACTGAATCGCGATTGCAAATGTAATGTGACATATATCGTGTGATTCAAGTAAAAAACTCAAGTTTGACTCTGAATTATCTCATCTGAGTATCTCACGCGAGATAGGTTTCAAGTAATGACTATTAATATAAGCCTTAAAGTTGCTCTTTTCGTGCTCGTTCGTTTACTGCGGGTTCCCATAAGGAGAGACAGAACGATCGCATTAATCGAAACAAAAATTTCCACGCTTACACGCAGCGACAGAGCAATCGGTGCAACTCAACTCACTTCTAATCGACGGTGTTCGCTGTGTATTGGTGACGATGCTTCACAGTATACTTAACATAAGATCACTAATATTGCACTAGATTATGGCCAGACACGAGTTGAGAAGAAGCATCGCTGTTCACCGCGGGCTTGACAGTTTCGTTCGTTCGCGATGCCAATAGAAACTTCTCCTCGTTATTCTCCATTCTGACGGGAATTCCACGTTACATATAAATAAGGACGGAATCACAGACACATAATTATATACTCAATGTGATCCTTCATGATACCGAAAACGATCAGATAGACCTTTGATTGACGCATCAACAAATCCTCGTTAAAATAAAAACCCTATTTCACCGTTTCTTCCATAATTAATATAACAGAGAACTCGCACGCACGCACGCACGCATGCACACACCTTACGGCATCGTGTCTTGTTATAGCTATGATAATATTATAACGATCGTGTTGTCTATTGTCGTGCATTGCGGAAGATTGCAGGTTCTTTGGCGAATTTAAATATCGCGACTGGAAACTCTTCGCCGATTTCGGCCAATTAAATTCGCATGAAATCAGGGGCGACTTTTCTTTCCCATACTTCAGATACATACTTCACATCGCAAGGAATACAAAACACTAATTTGGCTTCGCATAGTCTGTAGTCGATTAATTAATAGTCCTCTGGACTGTTAACGGAGAGACTTTGGTGTATACAGTCGAAGAGGACGCGTTGAGTTACGTCGTGTCTTATCACACTGTGCAAATACTTAACCGATTATTTTTAACAAAGTCGTAATCAATTAATGATGCCTAGCCTTACCCGACTTTAGAACGAAATCGATCGGACGCCATTTGTTCGATAAACAATCTATCTTATACGCACGTACACGTGCGTGAATTCTTGCACGACATCTTTGATAATTTCTTAAGTTTTTTATTTACTCGTATATTTCGACCCTTCGGCCCCCAATTCAGCCGATAATCAAGAAAATCCTAAGTCCTAATCGAGGTTTATTCTCATGATTTACATATCTTTATGTACAAATTTCAATCTTTCCCTATATAATTCACTAATGTTTGGTGAAATCGTGGAGCTTGATAAATCCTAAACCAGTCAAGACTCGCGCAGTCCTTCATATGACAAGTATAAAAAATAGAATTACACGAGATTTTAGGAGAATAGCCCCGACGAGCGACTTCTGTATTTCTCGTGTAAATCCTTAAGCCCTCTACCCTCCTTAAACTCTAAGTATCCTTATCGTAAATTACACGTTAATTAGTACCCAGATTAATTGATAGATTCTAATCTATTCAGATCCTACATTTCCTAAATCCTAAGTGCCACGTGTCGCAGATACCTCAACCCTTTCGTAAATATTTAGGCCCTTTTGTGCTTAATGAGCCACATATATCCCATGAACTAGAAAAAAAATTATTAATCTAAGATATGCATCACCTTTGTAATATGTGAAAACAAGCTAATACTTTATTGATTTATTTTTTCTTTATATAAGAAAAGAGTCAGCGCGAAAGGGTTAAACTTCAAACACCTTAGAAACTCTTTTACACTGAGAGAAAATTATAGTTGCTTTCGGCATCAACTATACATTTTTGTGATTTTAACCAGAAAAATAATTAGAAGAACCATTTAGTAAGTGTTATTAAAAAGATTGTTTTTCTCATTATTCTTGTAGTTAAAATCACAAAATGTATAGTTGACGCCGAAAGCAACTATAATTTTCTCAGTGTAGTTGTTTGAGTACCTGAGACTCCTAAACACACACACACACACACACACACACACACACACACACATATATATATATATATATATATATATATATATATATATATATATTCTACTCACACTTAAACTTTCTGAGACAACAGCTTCGTGTTGTTCGGATTCTCAACAAATAAGCGCAAATAAGTGACAACAATTGCATCTTCGCAGCGGATCGTTCAATTCAATTGAATCGTCAACGCAGTCAAGACTAGGCGTCATTAATTACCGTACGCTACGAGTACGACAATAAAGCTAACGCATGTACTTACCTAATCAGATCCGTCAGGTCTCTATGATATCTTGGTTCTCGTCAATATCGTTGCTCAGCAGGACGTACGAATCCCTCCCGGCCATCAGTCGGTGTTGGCCATTAATCAGGAAAGAGGAGCTCCTCCTGATGGTCCTCTTGCCTAGCTCGATCGCCTCGTGCGCCAGCACCGGGCTGTTGTATACCTTGACGAACACCACGACGATGGTCGTCAGTCCGACCAAAATCAAGCCGTACGTGAAGCACGGTACGACGATGTCGACGAACGAAGTCGACAAGAAGATCAATCTCCGGATGACCGGTGGGAGCTCCTCCATTCCTTCCTCGAGCCACATGATTGGAAAGATGATGTCGGGAAAATTTGCGATTGCCGCGATGTTGGGCTGTCGTTTCACCATCAGATTCATCTGAAGGCGAAGTTTCGCTTCGAGCGGTACGCCGAGTTTCTAAAGGAACAAAGAGATGTATCAGACGCGTCTTGAACAGTCCTTATAAACTCGCATCAGGCCAAGTATCGGAGGTCGAATATTGTAGATTGAAGATTAAAACTTAACTAATCAAAAAAAGGGGACAAAGCGGGAACAATTAATTGACTTCTCGATTTCGAATTGACTGATTCATCTCCATTCGTTCTAATCTTGAATGGGAGATCCTCTACTCCCATTTACATTATAATCTGGTATAGGTTTTAGGATTCTCTGTATAATTTACTCACCGGCTGAATCTTTATGTACGAATTATGTAGATCCTCGACCGGATTGAGTCCAACAACAGAGTCCAACAATTTAGGATCCGCTTTGTAAAAATGTGGGAAAGAGATGTAGATCGGTGCGTCTAAAACGAAAAGCGATACGTGATTTGTGTTTCGGCGCGTGTTCGATGTGTGCCCCAGCAGGACCATTTGGTCTTGGAAAATGCGTTAAAGACACTCACTGTACTGACACGGGCTGATGCTCTGTAAACCTCGCGGTGGGCAAGTGTCAAAGTCATGCTCACAAAAGCACTTATTCTCAGGCGCGGATTTATCCAGATAATCGAAAGTATTGTCTGTTGGTGTATATAAATCCGCTCGGATGCCTGTTTTCATCACCGGGCCACGATATTGCATTGCCAGCACTCTGCATAAATCCTTATCATAGACGTAAACGATGTCCGCGCCGGTGATATCCCGCGGCGGGAAGAAGGAGCCTGCAAGGAGGCATTACGTTGACGAGACTTCTCACATGTCCAAGTAGGTCGTGTCTAAACACGCCTAAAGATATACTCACCCTCCGAAGCTGTGATAGAGTTGCAAGGCGCCTCAGACCAGAACGGCAAGTGATCGAGCCCGTTTAATCGATTGAGATAACCAAACTTCTTCATATCAGTGTTTCCAGTGAATAACGTATGCACTTCTTTCAGTGTGCCGTTTCTCTACGATTGCGATTCGATTATAGTAGGCGTTGTGTCAAGATTTAATTGTGGTGTTCAAAAAGACTTAAATCAAGAGAATGTTTCGCGTCAACGATGAACAGCGCAAGTACTTACTCCAAGTAGAAAGCCCATTTTGTTCAGGGGCCGTCTTTTTTCAGGAAGAAACGTATGTCCAAGGCTAACGAATGGATCGTCGTAACCGAAGGCGAATTCATGAAAGGTGACTGGAATGAACGGTTTCATGTGCATGCCGCTTACGAACATTGACAATCCGAGCGTGAATACGCGCGGGAGATTTTTGGTTAGATCCGAAACTGTCTACGAAAAAAAGGTCAAATGTTCCATCAGTTTTTCTGTACTGGACCTTTTACAATTCTTGTGCGTGCGTGTAAACTTGTTTAAGTTTTTTTACTGAATTTAATTTTTTTTATTGAAATTACCAACTTACTAGTAAAGGTATATTCGGTATTATAATTTTGGTGTTCTTGTCTATCGACATTTCGGGCACAAAGTTTAAGATCTTCTTGTGCTGATAGCTGATCGTTCCGTTATTGTGAAACACGATGTTCACTTTTTCCATATCCTCTCTGGAAAACGTACGAATTGACTTCTCGAATTAATCGTCGCGTTTCGACGCAGCTCAATCCAGACGATACGCGATGTCTTCATATCGATAATCTTTGACGGTCTGAGGAATATTAACGGAGACTCACCGAAAAACGAACGGTCCGACTTCCTGAAGCTTCGGCTTCTCATTGAACTGCAGAAAGCCCTCCGTGTTGGTTACGTTAAAAATATATACTTTGGTAAGTCGCACTACGCCCGGCTTTTGCCAGTAATGGAATGAAATCGAGCCGTTCCACAGTCGCAGTTGCTGCAAAAACAACACAGTTGAGAATTGCCAATATTATTACGTGGTTCTCTCTACTTAGGACTGCAATTTGCGCGCGCACGTCCGCGTTTTATTTCGTGATCGATTTATCGTGATGTTTTTGCACGTTTGCTCGCCAACCCGAGGGGATACGATAGTGATTTAATAATCTCAAGAAATCCAATCCATTAAAAGTCGAACTGTGCCACTTAATCGCGTTATCCGAAAAAAGAATAATTGCATCTTCTCGCGAGACACCCAGCTTACTATACAATTAAATCGTTGCGTTACAAACAGCTGTCTCACGTTTCCGGAGAAATTTACGACAAAAGGATTAATGATCCTGACTTATAAAGTAGATGAAATTAGCTTATCAATCTCTGCAGAGGAAAATTGTACTCCAGACTCTTGTATTTTTTTAAAGGAATTTTTCTCTCAAAGAAACCTTGGATTCTTCTCGACTGAAGAGCCTGCACACTGAAGAAGTGCCAGGTCATTCTGAAAAAGACCCGAAGAAACGCGAAATGGACAAGTACTGAGACGGAAACGAATTTCTACATATTGCAAGAACACACTGTGGCAATTAAGCAGACATTTCATGGTACGCGGATTATTTACGAAGGAGAAATGGACCTGGTTGTGCGAATGAACGAAAAACTACACGTTACGCGATGTTATCACGCTGAGATCTCCTACAAGTAGTTCATATCCGTTAACGATTGAACATCGTAAATTAAATTATACACAGATGGAATCAGCGAGTCGACGGTGCGAGTAATGTTATTGCGGAAAATCATAATTAGTACATTTATCGCGATTGACATAATGACAATTTAATAATTGTAAATTATCCTTAGACATGCATTTGTACGTGTTAAAATGTCCTTTAACGGTAAGAGAAACCTGCCGCGATATTTACCGCAAATGCAAATTACTTCGCACCCAAGTATCATAAAAAATATTGAATATTCAATACACAATTACTTTGTCCAGTTATGGGCATATAATCACTCCTGAAGGACTCCAAAGCGAAATATAATTGAAAAAAGGAAAAACATTATTATCGTTGATCTTACGATGTCCTATTACAAATGTAACTTGATTTTGTACCGTCATCATCATCCCGATAACATGCATCGTTACTCTTTTATTAATAATGTTATCATGCAAGCGCGCAACGTGCAACGCGCAACGTGCCTTCGGTCGTGTTGACCGCGTGTAAACGCCGTCAAATTGCTGCACAATCGTCTCTTTCATAAAGTGTACGTTCCATCGAGGATTCGCACACGCATTCGTGTGTATACGCGCATACGTACGCGAATTTGCAATTCGTTGATCCATACTCACTTTCAGGATGATGTAATCGACCCAAGGTATACTACTGAGCACTATGCCGATCACAAGCGCGAGGAGACCAAGGCAGATCGCTGTTATTCTACCTGAAAAAGTAAGAGCAGCAACGTTAACGACGAGTTGTCAAATCGTACCGTGTGTTAAAAGTGTGCTGAAAGTGCGCGTTTGCGCAAACCATTTGTTTTTTTAACGACTATCCGTTGGCACTGCAACAACCGAGTGTGTCGCTCGTGAGGCAAGCATTGGCCTACATCTCAAAATTAATAAGAAGTATTCAGCGTTGCTGACGTAAAAAAGGCAAAAAAGAAAGAACCTATGTACGGCTACCTTGAACGTTCTCCGCAGAACTGCGAGTGCTGCCAAAGATTTCGAAAGATTTCGACGAGAGGAGTCGCGAGGACACTGTATATACTTGCTGGATTTAGTTTGTGAGGACAAAATGTCGCGGACACACATAGAATTCGCATAGGTAACTGCGTGAGAGAATTAATCGTCGTTACCATTGTTAGCAATCCCGCACGAAAGAAGCAATTGTATTGGTGTACCTAAATTTTCCGTTACCCGAGGACCACACGAAAAACTCGATTGTAAGAACAAAAAAATTCAGGAATTTTCTACTCAATTCCACACCAATCCGCAACAAAAACGTAGAATAATGCATTATTAATGAGGGGAATTCTCGCGGGCTCATATTTTATTTTACTTTTTTTTCTCGTGAATTCTGTCACGCGCCTTTTTTAATGCGATGCATCGATGCATGGAGTTACTTCGTGTGGCAACTAAATAATTGCTTCATTAACTTCTCACATATTGTTGCTCCTAGTTATCTGAATCAAATGTTAACGCGATTGAATGTATAGACGTTAGTGTTTTCAGCGACACGGTGACAACATTATTATCGATGAAACTTTCTTCTTGCAGTAACTTTCATCTCGCAATATTGATTTTATGTGCATCTCTTGAATGTCCTCGTTTAAAAATGTTTTCAAGAATATTATCGGACAACATGATCTCTCTGAATATAGGATATAGCGAGGTAAATTGAATAGTGGGGGAATTTAAGTAATATTAAGCGTTGGCGACAGTGGCGTAACCAGTTTTTCTATTATCCAGGTAGGAATTTACTACTGGCATCAAAGTGATACTGATTTATGGTACGTTACTGGCATAGTACCAGATGCCAATACGGGTTTAGTATTGGTGATACTGTGATGATACTGTGATGATAGAAAAGTATCGGAAAACACTGTCACTGAAGTACTGGCACAGTACCGAAAATCAATACTGTACCAGTATAAAAAAAGTATTAATTTCTAGTATGGGGGAAGTACCTATTCCCAATACTGAGCCAATATCGATTCCTAGTAATTTTTATTATTTGTATAATTGTTAATATCACAACTATATAGTATAGACAGAAAGATCAGACCATGGCCGGGCTGCTCTCGTACCTATATATGTCTATTTTTAATAGTCATATGAGGAAAAAATCTTCGGAGCGACGACTGGAATCGAACTCGAGTCTTCCGCTTGTCGGGCAAGCCAAGCTTACCACTGAGTTATCTAGTAGCGTGTTCGATTAGCTCTGAGTTAATCGCTCCGAGAGCGATTAATGACGTTATAAGTCTCTGCTAGCCAATCATACAGCTTATAAGTACTTGTTCGACCAATAAATGTAGGCTAAATAACCCAGAATGGGTTAACCCAGAGCCAGTCGAACATACTATAGGTTTCGCGTTAGTGACCTCTTCCGTTTTCCCATAAAGAACATTGGTATCGTCCGTGTTTCGGTACCGACACAATACTGGCCCAATATCCTCTATTGGCAGATTGTATACGATTCTTGAGTATCCAGTATTGATTCTACGAATAGGATCAGTACTAATTATACAGTTTTTTTTAATACTGAGCCGGTACCGAAAACAACAAACACTTTTCGCTAACGCTGCAGTATACGTACGATATGATTATCTAGTATCTAATCTTAGTACGGAGTCAGTACTAATAATACAGTTTTTTTATATTAGGTCCAGTATTGAGCCAGTACCGGACATTCGCTTTTCGGTATCGACCCAGTATCGGGCCATTTTTCCGTACTCGCGAAACGTATACGATTCCTACTTGGCTGGCCCTTCTATTTCTTATTTACTGAAACTATTTCTTATGCAATGGCTTGTATATTCATATGTAATTTTTATCTTCGTCACACGCGTCCTCTTCTACGAACGTATATATAATTATTCATAAGAGCATGCTTGACGCGCATATAAGACGCTGATATGAGATTCTAAATAATACGACAACAGACGACATTGACATTTCTTGCGACGGTACGTGCCTTGACGCTTAATTTACTGTATCGATTATTATTAATAACAGCGATTATCATCTTCACGTTGACAAGATTGCAGTTGTTACACATGTAATGTATGCAACAACAAGTGCAATGCGTGGAATTGGTCGGTATAAAGCGAACTTTGCACGTTTAGTCTGAGACAGAGACGCGATTAATATTAATCGTATAAATGACCAAGATGTTTTTTCCCGACCAGATGTGCATCTTGAACGTTAACTCGAGCGGTTCGTTATATAATTCTTGCGAGATTCAGCGGCACTATCAGGATTTTTTCATCGCGCATAAGTCGGCCAACGTGCTTTCACTCCCGAATTATATGTGGGAAGTTAACGAGGCAATTATTCAGTTGCCGTATGAAGCCTCGATGCATCGATGCGTCGCGCATTGAAAAAGACACGTGGCATAATCCACGGGAAAGGGAGCCGAAATAAAATTTGAGCCCACAAGAATTTCTCCTCTCGCGATCTTATTAATAATGCATTATTCCACGTTTTCGACACTCGAGCGAAAAAGCCGTTTGTCCTTTACGTTACGCCCGTCCGAGTTCTCTCCGCCGAGCACAACGCGTTAAGCGTCGCAAGCTCGCGATTTGCCCATCAGGTGTGAACGCGGCGGACAAAATGCGACTATGTAATTTTACAATTGGCGGCTGCCTTTCGTCGTGCGGGAATGCGAACGCGAGCGCTGCCGAGAGAGCGCCGTCACAGAGGGAAGTGAAAATACTGTAACGGTAAAAAAGAGAGAAGCCAAGAGAAACGCTCGAGTATCTCTCGCCTCTCGTTAATTGAACGCGGTCTGCCCGCAAAAAATTCGCCGGTCCAGACACGCGCCCAGAGGCATTTCGCGACCTTGAGTTGCACAATCTCCCTGAACGTGCGGTCGCTGGTACAAGTCGCGGATGTCCATCGCGAGTGAATTTTAATCCTAACGAATTGTATCGGGGTCACCTTTGGTCGGGAGATCGGCTAGATCAAGGTCGCTTTTCGTAATTCGCGCCGGCCACTCTCCCCTTTTTCCTGCTCCCCTCTCGCCCTGTTGAGATTGAGTCACGAGGTGTTGCCGAAAGATTTCGCATCCGCAGAAAGATCCCGCTGTGTTCCCTCTAGACATATTGTGCGACAGGACGTCCCCTTTGTTGGAATCTATCATTCAAGGCGAGCACACTTTGTACACATTGCGTCCCTCAATTCCTCCTTCAATTCGCCTCACTAACTGACCCACGCGTCGCTAACTCCGCAAATTGCTAAATTCCATCGAAATACCGTCATTTTATAATAAGTGGGCGCATTCTCAATTCACATTGATGCTTCCGCAGCCCGATTATTGTATATAACAGTCAGTCTCTCCTTTCTTATTCTTGCCATTTCCGACGGAAGCACTCGGGACTGTTCGAATTACGCGCAGCACGGTGCCCATGTTGATGGCTTTACGCCAATTAATTCAACTCGACGTCAATGAATACCCCACGGCGGCGTTATCTCGCCACGATCGTAATTTCTACTCGATACAACTTCGCGACTGCTTCCGCAATCAGACGTTTTAACGCACCATGCCGCGCGGGCTCGCAATTCAACCGTAAATGAAGACCGTTCGCACCTTACAAACTTTAGCGGGAAAACAAAACTTATAGCGCGATATTTAATTAGCCCCATAAAGGTAGTATATGTGAACCCGATCTAAGTGGATAATTTCATTCGAAAAGATTGGAAATTGCAGTCTTGTAGCAGTGGTGTAAAATCGAATGGGTCATTAACTCGCAAACCACACGGTATCAGTTGCGGGCTCAACTCGGTAGCCGGTTATCCCGTACGTGATATACCTCGCGAATCACGGGAATCCGCGCTGAGGAGAAAACGTCCGGCATTTGCAGCTATAACCACACAGAGGAATAACCGCTATCGAGAGAATCGTTTCATTAAACTCTACTATAACGTGACAATGATCTCATATGCATGTTATCGCTTCCGTGGAACAACCGAAAAACATGGACGAGAAGGACCAGAGGTGACCACAATTTCAGTCAGATCAAGCACTTTTTTCCTCTCAATGCGCAAGTGTACTGCGCGAGCCTTGGCGAAAAGCGATGCAATCGAATAGGTCAACATTGGCGAATGTGCAACGTTTGTTCGGCAATTTATAGTTCGCATGCCGCGGAGAGAGTGCAAAATAACTCATCGTTCACAAAGCTACGATACATGGTATTTGTTAACCATGAGTAGTATAAATTACCGCGGGGGAGGGGTTGGTAGGTGGGTAAGGAGGGGAGGAGACGTTACGCAACACTCGCGATCTCTCTTTTCTCAGACGTCGCTACTCGTGTGCTGCTTATGCCCGAAGTTCGATTTCTTAATACGACCTCGGCGAAGATGCGAGCTCAAAAACGCGAAGATCTCACTCGGGCCAGTCCTAATTTTCGGTATTCCGCCCGACAGACCGGATATCCCACTTACCAATCGAATCGCGCTTAATTCATTCCGTTCTAGTTCGGGCGACCGGTATTCCCCGTCGGAATTCGCTCGGACAGCAAGTCGGATACAAGAACACGCGGCAGACGCGATTGTCAGAATCAAGAGAAATGTCCCAAATTGCTACGTCTTGAAGAGTCTCGAAGAGAGCCGGGAAGAGACGTGCGATCTTCTCGCGGCGTCAGAGCGATGATCGATTATTTGCAGCTGCTGTGATCGCTACTTTATCGCACGGCGAATGAGAAACGGATCGTCAATCGCCAAT